CTATAGTTATATACATAAACGCAAATGTCTCATTATAATATAATATATTAAATATACTGGATAGCCTTTTAGCACGACTGTCCGTATACAAGTTCGACCCGATTGAGTAAAAAAAATATGATGATTTTCCTCTGCTACAGATCCGAGCGAACGTCGTCGCCACCGGACCGTGTAGAAAATCTGATAGTGGCATGCCAATATATCGTCGGTCCGATTAATGACAAGAAGACAAACACAGAAACACATAACAATATTATAATCTACACACAGCGGCTATGAATACACGAATCTGGGTCGAGATCGCCACGGGCAATCAGGGTGTGGACGTTCTGCGTAAAGCTATCTTTTCGAAATCGATAATGTATTAGTTAATACGCCAAACCAGTAGAAAATACAATGGATATCTGTTTGTTTATTCACGAAAATATTTGTTATCAACAATATTATGTCCATGTTTATTGTGTAGGTACACTTTTTACGCGGTGTGTAGTAAGTTATTCATTTGACTGACTAATATTTTTCTACAATCTGGGCAGCTTGTCGTGGACTGTAGATATTATATATTGCAGGTACAACTGTACGTTTTAACAAAAAAAATCTTTTCAAGTACCTGTTTTAAATTTAAAGAAGTGGAGCAGTAGACTACAGATTTTTAGGCTTATTTAGTTACTTCATTCGTGATTTGACTCCTCAATTTTAAAAGCTTACAATTTGAATTTATTTAACCCTCGATATTTATAATATAATAAAACAACGTTTCTGGTTTTTATAATCGTTTGATTATTTTATATTTATACAGATTTGAAGGTTTCCAATTTAAAACATTATAAGATAGGTACCAAAAGTATACACTTTCATTATGTTGTTAAGAAAATAATTTCTTTTGACAAAAATATGTTCACAAATATCGACCCAGATATTAAGTGAAGCCTACAGTTAAATGGATCACTCCGTACATCAAATGACCTCCACATTTTCCTACACTACACTACTACAGATGTGGTAAATGGTAATGACATGCCAACTATATAGTACATAGTAATAATAGTATAATATACGCACAATATTATAATTATATACTAGTTGTATTGCCAAACACTTAAACCTCTCAAAATCATCGGAACAGAATGCTTTTTACACAGCAATAGCAATAAATATTGTACAATAAAACTGTTTATCACTAGTGCATGGTTATTCCACTTGTACATATTTTATCTACGTATTGTACACGGGTTGTAACGATTTATTTTATAGACACTAAACTGTTTGAACCCCTATTGGTTTATATATTATGTTCCAGATAAAACCAATAAACTTGGACCACCGTAAATGTAATGAATCGTTCGATAAAGTACATACATATATAAATTACGGTAACGTGAATTTATCGAGAACGGAATTGTTGGCATTAGTATATATTTTATACAATGGCAAAGTTTAAATTTAATATATTCGAAAATAACAACGAAAATGGGAGGAGGAGGACCGATCCGAATTATATTATATACTATACTTTCAGTAAATTATTATTGTAAACGATTCTTTTTTTTTTAGTTATTTATTTGCTTTGTTCAAACATTTAAAATCTTATTATTTCTCGGCTTAAGCTTTTTTGACATCAAAAACTGCAACTAAAAAAAAATGAATTATAAATAACACTATAAATAATGTGTAAAAACTCTTGCCTACCTCAAATTATCAAAGATATACCCTTGATTTTTCAATCGAGGGACATCACATAATGCGTTAACGGCTATAAACCTCATCACGTGACCTCCAATGGATAAGTAAATAACCATCGTGCGACGTAAATATATTGTGTTTGGGTTTTTCGTGTATTGTGGAGGAGGTGGTCGAAATCCAACGGGGTGGGATAGTAAGGATATTGTGAATTGTGAGTACAGTCTTAAAAGTTGCATCACCCATTTTATTTTTGTATAAATGACGTAGAAATATGTCTCAACATATTTATATAGAAACGCATAGTATTGTATTTTGTACACCTATTATATTCAAACTGATGATTTTAAAATTCAACTATACATTTGTATTTTATATAATATTTTATAGACAAAATGTTTAAGGGAAATAAAAAATTCAAAGAAAACACCTTACCTACAAAAATGTTGACGTTAAATTCTCTAATCATCATCGACTGGTTTAAATTATTTATTTTGTAAACCAAAATAATAATGTATCTTATTTTCAAAATAAACTAGCTGTTAGGTATCAAAATAATACTCTCTGTTATAACAATATGAACAATGAAAATAAAATGAATATCATAAATGCGGAAACATAAAATTATCACATAATATCATATTATTTTGTACCTATACTATACTGAATATATTTTATGATATAAACTCGTATGCATGATTTATAGCTCAAAGATATTGTTCGCGTATAAGTGTATTGCAATTTTATTATGTATTTATGTATATACAAGTAATAGAGATGATGTGCACCGAATCCTAAATTTATTATTTAGGTACTACCTTTTTACAACACTCGTTCGTAGTATATACTGCACACAGTATACATGCATATATTGCATACACACAAACATTCGATTCCGATGCATTTTAAATAAAGATGTTTGTGTTGAAAGTGCATTCTATCCCTAAATAACTACGACCTCATTTGAGTATATAATATATATAATATAATACACTGTAAGCTCGAAATCAGTATTAATCAATTTTATAAGTTAAGTAGCGATGGTCGTTTAGTCCCAATTTACAGTGAATAACGTTATTTGTAATGAAAATGCTTTGTAAAAGACGTTTTCCATATAGAATAGAACGTAATTCATATTTCATATTGATAATGTTTAGCAATTGGGAGCTTCCAGTTATATTTGACGACGTTAATACTCTACAGTACATACCGGACACCTTCTTTTGGAGTGATGCACTGTCGCACTGATGCTATCAGGTATACTTACTCATTATTTTTCGAGTTTAGCAAGAGTGGGCACTAATATTTTCCATTATAAATAACACAAGTTTCGCTACATAGAATGCACGTCTTACAAATATTTACACTTTCTAACTAAAAAAATTGATATTCTCATTGATCGTAAACTAAAATAAACGAGTTCCATTTTACATTTTTACAAAAAATGTACACAACCTAAAAAAACTGAAATTACATTACAACCATATAGAACTACTCGTGTTGGGCAGATTCGACAGACTTGTTTAAAATTTCCGCATTCTAACCAAAGCATATCGTATATATATATATATATGTATGTATCGTATACAAATTATTAAATTAAAAAAAATAGCATATTACAGGCCTTCACGAATTAAAATAAATAGCGATGATTTTAACGCATTTTATTTTTTTATGTAATAGGTAGCATAATGAATTATTTCTAAAGTTGTGTTGATATTTAGTCTGAGAGTAGAAATATTTGTATGCCAGACATACGCCTCGTGTGTAAAATATAAATCAACATAATATAATATAGTATTATACAATTAATTATTATAGTTTATTTTATGGCTTATTTGTTTTATTGATATCTTATTTTTGTATAATATTGTTATAAGTGATATGAGTTTTACAGATGTAATACCATTTGAATAAATATTATAAATTAAATAAACTGAATTATTATGTTTAAAATATTTATGTTTTTATTTAACTATCCTATGTTTTAATAGTAAATAAATTAAACAGGTTGAAAAATCAACGTGCTGTTTTGTAACAGATAGCATTTCATTGATAAAAGTAATGTAATTTCATTTCATTAATACAATAATTGCAATAAAAAAAGTAATTTTATAACTATTTTTCTAGTGAAACCAGTCACGTTTTTCCATTATTTTTAAAACAACTACAGTATGTATAATACCTCATATATAATTAATGGTTTATTTTCTAAATGTTATTATTCTAACTCATCAACCTTGTCATAAACTTACTGCAGATTGTAAGCTATTTACAATTTGTTTATGTACCCTTGCTTAAAGGTCTTCTCTCTTCAATCTGTATACTTGCGGTCGTCTGCTTGCCTACCATACCAGGTTCAAAGTTATTTGATAAAGAATGATAAAATAATGAATACAAACGACTTTAAATAAAACATCCATTTAAGAGAAGACTTTCACAAAAGTTTTCACGGTAAAAAAGAACACATCAAACATAAATTACATTATAGCTTTATAACAGCTTATATTTTTCTTGTATTTTTTTTTACATAGTTAAAAAAATTAAACAAAAAAATGCCGCACATGTATGCAAATATTATTCGTGATTACGTTATTGAAATCATCGTAATAATTTGCATATGAAAATTGCACTAGATCAGCCCTGATAATCCGAGAAAATTTTGTTTTTCTCAATTACAAATGTCTTAATTAATAATAATAATAAAAAAAAAAAACTAAACAAATGTCAACAGTACACAAATATTAATAAACTAATTTTTTTTTTTTTTGGAGAATTCAAGTCATACAACTAAGTTAAATTTGGTAAATACCTTCAATGTTTAAAGTGTCTTACAAATAATTGACACTCGTTATAAAATATTTTATACATTTAATAATTTTGAAAATAAAAACATAAACCAATTTATATTGATTTCAGCAGTTGCATATAACAAAAATACAAATATATATATAATATATATATAATACAAAACGAAGGCACTGAGGCACTGCGTACACTGTAGGTACATCATACATTGTGTAAACCATTTGAATATATTTAGTGAACATATTTTATTATTATAATATACTTGAGTGTAATTGGATAATTTTGAGCATTAAAAACCAATTTGTGTAAGGTATTTCATAAACACTGTCAATATCTTAGGAAGTACGATATTTATTTTATTTTCAGAACAGTTTATTATAGTAGGTAATAAGTAAAATAGCAATTTTAATTTTTTTTTAAGTTTTAAATTCTATATAATTCCCAAGATATTGCCTGACAATAGAATAGCTCTATGTATTGTTTGCATATGTAGTTAATAAATATTACTTACGTTATAAGTTATAACTTTAAACCATTTACGACCAATCCGCAATAAACTAATTTCGAGAAACATTAAAAAAAAAATAATAATAATCAACAGAGAACTATAATATTTCATACATTATACAATAAACATTAAACTAAATTAACTATACATACAAACATTATATTAATAATATATAGACAAAAGTTGCGTCATAGAATATCTAGGTAAAACAATAGTAAAAATAATAACAAAAGCTCAAAAAAATAAAAAATAAAATTAGAAATGACCTTCAGCTTTCCTACCATGCGAACAATTATTATATTATTAGTACCTATACGTAACAATACTGATAAATCCAACGTGAGAAAAACAAGTCAGGGAAACAGCGAAATCAATGACTTTTGGAATTTACCATACTTTGAAAAATATAAAATAATATTTTTTGTTTTTAGTCGAATCGACGCAATAGACACGGACACGATTTTTATCCTATGATATCATCATCTTATAGTGATAATGATTTAATGAACTAATTTTTGTTTTTTGTAAAGCGAACGACGATTCGCGTGGACACCATATTATAAATGTGTATTTCACATGTAGTTTAAACGCTTGACGGTAATATTACCGCTCAAACAGGGCGTCCGTGTGTATCCATTCCAAACATCTTGAACACCCTGCGCGTGTAAAGTGGACGGACTTTGCCGTCGACGCGAACGGCGCTGCGCTCAGCACTGGGCGGACGACGAACTGTTGTTGTTGTTGTTGTTGTTGCCGGGGCCGGGGCTGTGCCGGCCGGCGCCGTGTGACTGGGCTCCGTGACAGTGGGCGCAGTGCATGCACACTGCGCAGTTTCCCAACTTCTGAGCCAGCACGGCCCGGAACTTGAGCGCCGGTCCCAGTTTCATGTTCATGGTTCCGGTCAGGTGATCCTCGCTGAGCAGTGGCAACGCTGTCCCGTCGATCGACTGCTCCCGGAAACACTGGAAAACATTGAAAACACAAGTACGTCAATACATGCAGGTTTGCAGTTTTTTAATTATTATATCATATATAGTAATTAGAATTTGATATTTGTTCTATATATTATATTATAACGTCAAATAGGTTTGACTTTTCACGAATATTTTTCTTCCTTATACGACAAGACTAAGGTACATTCGAAAATATTTGTATCATTATTTTGAAGTGTCATATTATTATTATCTCTGTACAAAATCACTTTCAAATCCGACCAAATGTCGGATACATATCTTTCTTGTGTTCCTGCTTATTATTCCTAAAATCTAGATCCGACTAATTGCATACGTTTAACGCCAAAGAAATTAATAATATCACATTTTTATATAGATTACACTTACACTGATTCGTAGGAATTATTACTGAAACTTGAAAGATTAGGATATGAACATAATATATAGTTGTGATGTCGATTTTTTACGTCATACATCTTAAAATCAAGTTTAACAATAATTATTACTATAACTTTCACTACTAATGCTACAACTAGATTCTACAAAACCAGTCAATGTCGGGTGTTATATTATAGAAGAAATAAAGATGACACGTACGTGTTTTCATGTTATATATAGTAATATTATTACAGGTATGACCTGTCTCGTCGCGATGGTTGCCGGTTCTTAAAGTCTAATCGCCTGTGAGTGTCGGTGAGTATATTGTAAATAATATAATATAGTAACTCTACACGAATATAATATTTAATACATGTTATATGAATGACCTAACGCTTCTGAATATTGGCACATCGTCTGCTACCGCCGGTCTTTTACGCCCAGTGCAAGGACGAGGTGACGCTAAAACGCAATATTAATAAAATATAAATTATTATTACTACTCAGAGCACGATCTCATTGGAACAATCAAATTTCATCGACGGTGTACTTATATTATATATACGTACATAGGGCATACGAGCGGCATTGTATAATATGATAATATTTTATACTTCCAATGGAATTATAATCTGTATTTAGACTTAAGATGTATACCGCAGAGAGCAACACTGCCACCGAACCACTTTGTTCGTTTTAAACGCTCAATAGGTGTATACTCCGTATAGTTGCATCAGAATTCTGTTCCAATAACCTTTACAAATCCTGAAGAAGATTTTTGGAAAAGTATAAGACGAAGGTACGGAGGAGTGGAGAGCAAGGAAAAATAAGGAGTCGGAGAGACACTTCCAAAAACAAATAATATTGGACAAAATCAGGAGCCAATAATGTCCGTGGCCTGGACACCGATGGTGAAGTTAGAACCAATTTTTATTTATGATTATATGGGAGACAATCTAGTAGAAAAACACCAATTGAGAAACTCATTTTTAAAGGGAAGATAGAATTGAAAAGACGCAGAATAACGGAATGGAGGAACGGACTGGAAAACACAAGTAGCTGATTTCGAAAATGTATGTGCTACAAAACGGTCTTAATTTCTGAAATTTTCCCTAAGAAAAAGAAGAAGACCTTCAGTCCCAAACTAGAAATAAGTAAATATTCATGTGTCCGACAGGCGTTCACATAGGTAATATAATTTTAAATCTTTTTAAGAGATTTAAAATATGTACAATAATACATACTGAGTAAACTAAATTACTCGGTACATATGAATTATTCGTATTGATTTATTACCATCATGTAATTGTATACAATTTTTTTTACATAGATACTTTTTATTTTTTTTGCGTGGCTGTACATCTTCTTAATTTTGTATAGATTTGGGGGAGCGTGATAAAATGTATTTTGAATAAAATTATACACGATTATTATTGTTCATGGCTCACAAAGAGTATACCTACCTAATGTGGTGCAGTAAAAAATCTGCTGATACAATATGAGGAAAAAATACTGATTCGGGTAAAATGAAATAAACAAGCAGTAATTCTCCCGTTTTATAATACTGATGGTTTGCGTTTTTCAAAGATAATTTTATTTCTTATATTTGACGATCTTGTCTTTTATATTTTTTGTTTTATCCATCTGTAGGTATTGTATTTTCCCGACAATGTACAGGAAACGGCTGAAACGACCGGAGACATGCCTACATGCTATTATTATCGTGGAAACGAGTAAACGACCATAAATATTACACGTGGTAATAAAATGGCATTTCATATAACACGAGACTGGTGTGACACTGACGTCCGCCGAATTGCAGTGTACAGCAAAAAAAATGAACTTTAACCTCAGCCGATTGCGATTCGACGGACGTATACTGTTCACATACGTATATAAAATTAATCACCCTATTCGATTTTTCCAATGTAACATTTTCCATCAATAAAATACAGCCTTCAGTGGACCGAAAAGTATTTTTTTTTTCATTTCGTTACAATTAAACGTGCTTCGAATAAAATGAAACATAATATTTCTTTTAAAAACGAGGAAACGCATCCCACACACGGTTTCTGATATCTGTACGTAACATACGCCAAATGTATATTCAATAACCTGCGATGATAGGATGGTTACGTGCAATTTACTTGTTTTATATTTTCTTATACAATAAATCTCGCCATAAGGTATATACGATTTCATGGTCCAAACTCTTTTGACCAGATCGCCGTACATCCTCATACCTTTGCTCATACCTACAGTGGTGCATTAACAGAAGTTTAATTTATGCGGTTATCACACGGTTCACTTTTGATGATTCGACCAGATTGCACAAATGTCGGATTTTATACAACTCCGTTCATCGATCAATGTGTTTGACAACTTTATGATAAAGCTGATAGTTTTTTTTAATTAGATTTAGATGATTTGTCTGAAATTATTATCCTACAGAGTGGTAAAGTGACTAAATTCGTGGCTAAACGCCATTAAATATGTATGTAAATTTTGGTTCTTCGTCGAAATGGTATATTCTACTCCCATTCCAACTAGAAATGAATTTATAGAGGTGTTTCCTTGTTTTTTTTTTTCCAGATTATTTTAAAAAGTATAGAAAATTTTCAATTTTGACCTGTTTAAAGTACCAACTTTATCCAATTTTCTATCTGAAACCACCTTCAAAGTTGAAAATAGAAACATTTTTCTACAAATTTTCATGTAAGCACAGACACACAGACACAGACACAGACACACACAGTAAAACCAATACATTCATCGCTTCGCTCAGAATCTAAAACGTAGTTTATTCAAGAAAACAGAATATTTATTTAAAAGCATATTTAATATCATACAACTTCTAAGGATTTGTTGTGGTATATAACTACCTGCAACAGTCACAAACAAACCGAAAAATCTAAATTCACAGCCACCGACGTGCACGTGCCGAAATATTTTTATTATATTAAAAATATAATTGTATACGGTATCATTTATGTTTGGCTCACTTCGTATACATATAGGTACACAGCAAAACGCACGCAGGCAACAATATTATAAGACTATATAAAATAATACACAACTCTTTACTGACTACATATTAGTATGCCTGTGCAGCTACACACACACACACACACACACACACACACACACACACACACACACACACACACACACACACACACACACACACACACACNACACACACACACACACACACACACACACACACACACACACACACACACACACTTTAAAGTCACCATACACTATACGTCTATACTACCACTAGTTTATATACTACTACTCATACCACTCGCATACTACCACGGTTATACTACTACTACTACTACTACAACTACTATTACTACTATTACTACTACTGTTGCACCGAACGCGCGGCTTCCTCGTTGGTTATAATGTACGTGCGACGGCCACACGTCTCTCACGGTGAAACCATCACGTCTGACCTTTAACACTGACCTCACGAGATCAAGGACTGCCGTGGCCGGACGGGTGTGCGTTGTGCACATGTGTGCGTGCGCACGTGTATCGGTGTGTGTGTGTGTGTGTGTGTATGTGCGCGCGCGCGTGTGTGTGTTCTCTCCTCAAAAGTTCGACGTGCGGCGGCTGAGGCAAAAGGTAGAGGTCACATTCTTCGTTCCGCTCGCGGGGCCCCGAGCTACGGTCGATCGTCGTCGCCGTCGCCGTTGTCGTCTCTGCCGCCGCCTTTAGGACCGATCAAAACCAGATCGGATCAACCGGTTCGCGTGTGTAGTGCGTATGTATGTGTATATATTATACCGTCGAAACTCAAAACTAGTCTTTACCATATACCTAGTACAGCGTAGTATATTATAAAGCGACGGAGGCGATTAGATCCACCGCGCACCGCCGTCAGCTGGTTCCTACTGTTGCCCAATCATTTTTTTTTTTTTTTTTATCATGTTTCTTACCGTGAAAATCCGTACGCGACCACACGAAACAAAAAAAATAAACCACCTCTAAAAAAGAACTGGTCTGGTCGCCTTTTAGTTATTCCTACGTGTTTTTCTTGCGTAGTTATGTACAGTTTGAAAACAATCTACAATATTATCTATACATTTATTTCGTTTATTATATTATCATGTTTTGTCACAAACATTGTTGTCGTTATATTAATTTAGAAAAATAAATACGATTTAGGTTTGGGTCTGTTATTACGTTGAAAATTAAATACGTATATTTAGCTATGTACGTATTATGTTTAAAGGTAGGTCCTACTGCTGGATGCTTATTAGTTAGTGAGCATTCATTATCCTCATTATTTTGAAAATCATTAACTGTTTTGAAAATATATTTGTTTCTTAATTTTAAGTAATTATAAAACAACATTTTATTGAAATTATTATATTTTTACCATTTTTAATTTCATATTACCAAGAAAACTATTTTCTTTTTTTAAACTTGTTTTTTTTTAGAGAATACTGGTTTTTGAAAATCAAATTTCGAATAAACAGTTAAGTTGTAACATAGAAGTATTTAATATTTAGATAAGCGGAATACTCCGGAGGATAAATGGGACTCCTTAAAATATTGTTCTATACCTATACGTCGTCTAATCCACACATTATAACTTTATTGTTTTACTATTTTAA